CGATCCCGTAAACACGATTCATCATTTCTATTGATATATTAAAAAAGGTAGAAAAACAAGAATTAGTCAGTTACCTTTGGCTCCTAACTGAGAAACTCATCTGATATCCTCTGCCAACACAACAACACATTGTCAGAAAGGCATTATCACTTGTGGCCCAGAGATGCATTAACGGGTTTCTGCTGCCGTCCCTGGAATATTTATCACCAGTGTTCTCCTCGACGTGTCAGGCACATCTTAAGCTAATGGATAAGAAATGTTAACCGTATCATCATTTGTACGAGTAATGGCACTTAGTTACCTCTGGCCATCGACCATCGTGTAATGTTTCACCACCTTATATAAATGTGTGATAATGACAACCACACAACGTATTCATTTCTTTAACACTTATTTAACCCATTAAATTAAACACAGTGTTCAACCAATGCGTCGCTCAAAAAACTGTAGAGATAGTTAAGAAAATATATCCCAACGGACGAAGTATTCTGACAACCCTACCGAGACAACAGGTGTCACAGGAGAATATCTTCCATATTCTGCACTGCATTGTAACGACCTCCTTAAGATGGCTTCAAGTAACAGGAACTTAAATCATGTTGTATAATGGGGGAATTTCTTCATATCACACTTTCGATTTTATACAGCCTTATGTGTTGTGTTTTTCTTATACAATAAAATATTCCTATACATATTTCTATATTCCTATAATAAAAACATGTATCGGATAAACAGATGAAATAAGAGACTAAACCGGGTTAATCCAACCTAAGACATAGTAAACAAGTGAGCCATGTTTATGAGCCGTAACTGCAACCCACGTTTAAGAGTTCAATTGTGAGCTATCGTTATGAGTTCAAGTATGAGCTATGTTTATAAGTTCAAGTGTGAGCTATGTTTATGAGTTCAAGTATGAGTCTATGTTTATGAGTTCAAGTATGAGCTATGTTTATAAAGCTATGTTTATGAGTTCAAGTATGAGTCACGTTTATGTAATGAGAAAAAGAAGAAAAAGCAAAATATGAGAGAAGTATTTTATAGTAGTCATACGAACATGCAAAACTTTATAGAGAGAGGAACACACAGCAGGAGTTGACCAGCACTGACTAAGGGAGAGGAACGAGTTGTACAGGGTAAAGAGATGCACAGTTTAAACCATCGCACACAAAGGGTTAGACCGTTAAATCATCGTCAACAAAGGGTTAAATCATCGTCCACAAAGGGTGAAGTCATCGTCCACAAAGGGTTAAATCATCGTCCACAAAGGGTTAAGTCATCGTCCTCAAAGGGTTAAATCATCGTCCACGAAGGGTTAAATCATCGTCCACAGAGGGTTAAGTCATCGTCCACAAAGGGTTAAATCATCGTCCTCAAAGGGTTAAATCATTGTCCACAAGGGTTAAATCATCGTCCACAAAGGGTTAAATCATCGCCCACAAAGGGTTAAATCATCGTCCACAAAGGGTTAAATCATCGCCCACAAAGGGTTAAATCATCGTCCACAAAGGGTTAAATCATCGTCCTCAAAGGGTTAAATCATCGTCCACAAAGGGTTAAATCATCGTCCACAAAGGGTTAAATAATCGTCCTCAAAGGGTTAAATAATCGTCCTCAAAGGGTTAAATCACCGTCCACAAAGGGTTAAATCATCGTCCACAAAGGGTTAAATAATCGTCCTCAAAGGGTTAAATCATCGTCCACAAAGGGTTAAATCACCGTCCACAAAGGGTTAATGGTAATTGGAGGAGTGAGGTAAAGATTCACACCCAGTACGTGACACATTGTTCAGGGTATCACACAGTGTAAAAACCTCTTAAGGTAACACAAAAACTTTCTGACAATATACATGTGTGTGTGTGTGTGTGTGTGTGTGTGTGTGTGTGTGTGTGTGTGTGTGTGTGTGAAATATTATCTTTTTGTTCCTTGGTAAATTCAAAGTCAAATCTCTCAGACAAACAGCTAAAATGTATATAATTTTAACCTCATATTATCACAAGGCCCAAAGACGTTGATCTGGACTCCATATACACACTTAGTATATCAAATTATATGGTACAGTGGGTAATGCTCTCACCTGCCAGTCTGGGAAGTGTGGGGTCTGAGTCATCCAAATAGTAAGGTGTTTGATCGTATTTACCACACGATGTTAGGTGTTCCTGGTTACGCGTATATACAGTCGGCAAAAATAGTTCTCCAAGCTCTAAGGGTTATACAATATGACAAAACGAACGAGAAATCTGAATAATTGCCCTCCGAGGACGTTTTAATGTAAGTTAAATTACTTATTTTCATCTGTAAATACTATAAAGAACAATATATATTATTACGTAATATTGAGAGTCACTTCACAACCAGGCCTACCAACCATTCTGAGCTGACAAGAACCATAGTGTTCATTCTGAAGTCTGTCGCCCAGATGTTCCAAAACTTTTGTGGCGACTTTACACGATACTACTGAAATAAAAATAAAAAGAGGAATTGGGAGGCTATTTTCATTATTATTTATACATTTTCTTCACCCACGTATAAAGTCTACCAGAGTACGAATGGTGTTGGTGAGAAGAGTAACTCAAACATGGCAGAGGTGTTCCTAAGATTATTTATTATTTGACAGTTGTAAAGTACCTGCTGGTGTGCGTACGTGCGTGTGTGCGTGCGTGCGTGCGTGCGTGCGTGCGTGCGTGCGAGCGAGCATTCGTGAGAGCGTTCGTGCGAGCATGCGTGCGTCCGTTCGTGCGGGGAAAAATATATTTATTGTATAACGTTGCAACAATACCCGTTATCATCATCAAAAATAAATTACATGAAATAAAATACGATAACATAGATATAAACTTCTGGATACGACACATAACAGTTACATCACAGTATATATTAATTAATTCATTAATTTGAATATTTCTTTCTTTAAAGTTGTTGAAAAATCTGTGGTGAAATTTTCAAGAATAATGGCTTTAGCTATTGGGTTAAAATAGACGCAACTTCAAGGATTAATATATTTACCAGCTAAGAAGAAGTTTATGTCACTTTAACAATGAGACGCACAGCTAAGTTGATGGCGTAGCATTGAGAAGTCCACTTGAATCTACCCAGGCCAATTCTTCTCAGTTACCACGAAACAAAATGGTTCAATGATTGTGTTTCAGAGTTTAAAGCTGGTATGTACAGACGATACACTGGTGATAAACTTTTCCCCTTGGCGTAGTAGTAAATAGTTGACTTCAAATCAAGAGTGAAAATAAATCACCTTTTTTGGAGAAACACGTCGAAAAGTCAAGGGACCTCTTTTGTACCTTAGTTCACAAGAAGACAATATTCGCTGGATTACCAACTTAATTCCTCTCCATCGTGTGTCAACTACAATAGGAACTTGATATTCATAAGTCTTATAACATCAGCTCAAACTATCTCAAACTTTATCTTATGCAACAATCCCTGAACAAAATACTAAACCTCTATGGCTTCACACTTTACGTCGTTCCTCCACAAATATGATAATAAATGTCCAGTCTACTCAAACCACAAATTCACCCAACTATCGTTTATTTCCTCATTGAAGTTCCTGCTGTTATACACTCAGGGTCAAACTGGTGAACTTATTGAGAGAGTGTTTCCATAAATGTCATTCCGAGTAATAATCACATGTTAAAATGTCCTGGAAAATATTTTAAGTAGATATATGGAATCCCTGTGTAAGCCTCTGTAGTGCGACTTATATTTTCCAAACCAAAATACAATTGAGAGAGAACTGTCGAGCGCAGAGATGCTAAATTAAAACAGGTGAAATTGCCCGAACCATCATATTGACCTATCAGAGATCATAGCCAGGCAAGCGAGCACTCTCTATATTAGCCAGACTTCATAAATCTACCAATTGCGCTGATGGCACGGCACGGCAGAGTACGGCAGGGCAGGGCATGGCAGGGCACGGCACGGCACAGGTGAGGAGTTGCTCATCACCTACTAAGTCCAGTCTTGTATATCCATGACACCACTACTGTCTTACTCTATTCTTTAATTGGTATGTAATGTATGTGGTCATACAGGTAATTTCTGTATTAAATATTCGACTATGTGTTTACGCTACTTCTTGTGATTTTGTTCTGTACGTTAATTGTGTGAATTTTAGCGATTTAGTCAGTATTAGTTTTCTGTTTTAGTCATTATTATTCCTCTGATATTCTTTTTACCTCTCATATACGCATTTTGATATATATATTACTCGTACTGTAGTATTCTGATAAAGTAAAGAGGAACTGTCGAAACATTGCCAAGTACATACGTCGCTGTTCTCTACTCGTTGCTATCCATGCTACGTCGACACTTCGTACGAGGATTAAGAGGATCCTTGTGAGTTGAAGGAAATTAATAACAATACAATAATAACAATACAATAATGAATGGTGGATTAGAAACACGCTTTTATTTCCTGACAGATTCTGAGAACAACTTTATCCGTCCTCAGACACACACTATAATAGGCGATTATTGTTATGTGTAATAGTGTCTTGTAGGCATAGTAGTAAAATAGGGAGAACCTAATCATTACATGTTCATCTGTAAATGGTATTTAACCAAATATTTCCCATTCTAACATAAAATAGAAAGAAAGAACAAGACCCATAAGTTTCTAGCAGTTAATTTATTTCATGATCTTCCAAAGTGTAAAATTATCAAAGGAATTCAACTGAGAAACTTGTAGTCACAACTCTGTCATATTATCCCTTAAGAGCGAGTAGGAACTTTAGACCCATTTGAAGGAGAAAACAAGTGACGCCCAAACTCTTGCTGTGGGCGGAGTGTTTATTTCTTAATAACCCAGCTCCTGCAGTGTGAACTGTGGAGGTGCTCATACAACTTGTCATAATATATCATAAGTGTCTCTGTGTCATATTACAGGTGTAGTGAGTGTGCTATGGTCGTCCTATACAGTTAGGTAGGTTACAGGTGTAATCAGTACCTTTGTCGTCTAATATAAGTGTCATTGTGTTGTGTTACAGGTGTTGTAAGCACACTATGGCCGCTGGACCGGGAGGAACAGGCAGAGTACGAGCTATGGGTGACGGTGAGTGACGGGCAGCTCTCCTCCGTCACGCCTGTCTTCATCACCGTCAGTGACGTCAATGACAACGCCCCAGAGTTCGTGGAGGGACTTTACCGCGTCACCGTCCCCGCCCGGAGCAAGACCAGGAAGCGGGAGGCCATGTTCAGGGTAGGTCCTGCTGCTGTACCTCCCTGCCTCTCATACCTGGAGGTGCTGGCTTGTGTGAGGTGTTGAGGGTGGGTGGAAGTGCTAGGGTGAGGAGGTGGAGGTGCAGGGGTGAGGGAAGTGTTGGTGGTAGGTGGAGGTCCAAGGGTGAGGGGTTATTGAGGGTAGGTGGAGGTCCAAGGGTGAGGGGTTATTGAGGGTAGGTGGAGGTACAGGGGTGAGGGGTTATTGAGGTAGGCGGAGGTGTAGAGGTGAGGGGTTATTGAGGGTAGGCTGAGGTGTAGAGGTGAGGGGTTATTGAGGGTAGGCGGAGGTGTAGAGGTGAGGGGTTATTGAGGGTAGGCGGAGGTCCAAGGGTGAGGGGTTATTGAGGGTAGGCGGAGGTGTAGAAGTGAGGGGTTATTGAGGGTAGGCTGAGGTGTAGAGGTGAGGGGTTATTGAGGGTAGGCGGAGGTGTAGAGGTGAGGGGTTATTGAGGTTAAGAAGGAAATAAAGGCGGGGAAGTTGACAATGAAAGGAAGCGATTGAATAGGGAGAGGTGTTAATGGTATGGTGTTGAGGGTGGGTCCACCTAGTGAGGAAACGGGGCAACATGCTGAGGGTGACAGCACTTTAGGAGGGAATGATTTAAGGGAGAGAGGAGAGAATCCGCTCCTAACTTAATCACCTTCTCTAGACACATAATGATCCCCACTCGTGAAGAGACACCTAACACATGGCCATCAGCTGATATAGAGTCTAAGATCAAAGGCAGTGTGTGAGAGCCGTATTAGAGGTCCTTCTAGGTAGTTGAAACCCTTGAACCTCCTTCTATCTTTTTAATGTGTGTGTGTGTGTGTGTGTGTGTGTGTGTGTGTGTGTGTGTGTGTGTGTGTGTGTGTGTGTGTGTGTGTGTGTGGACGACCATATTAAGTGTTGAGTTAGGCCATTTCTCTCTCTCATCCACCCACTTCAAGTCTTTTTCCGTGTGTGGTGGTCCATGTGAAGAGATTAAATACTGATGGTAGGAGACCAAGGGAGCTGAGTGCAATAAATGGAGAAATTTCAAACATTTTTATACCTGAGAAACAGAACAAGATGAAGCTTGGTCAGGAACACTGATGAAAGATGATAATAGATGGGATTAATGGTCAAACAATTTTAGAGTTAGAAATTAGAATGAGGGGCACGGGATGGAGGTTAATAAAGAAAGAAATGAGAAACAATATAACAAGATGACAAACATTAACAGATTAAGTAATAAATTAGAAACAGCATAAAAATGATGAACACGAAGATTTTGAACCACCGTGGGCGTCCTTAGTACTTTATGAGTTCGTGGATGTAAATTTCCTCGTAAGAGACAAAACTAGAACAAACCCAGAGGGAACATCATGTCACACACACTCCCAGCAGTACACAATAGACAGGTTACACTTGATTCCAGCTGCGTTATAGCTCCGCCACACATGACTTTATTGCTTCGTCGATACCAAATGATGTATAAGATTTATCATTATTTCCCGCATGTTGAGAATGGTCCTCCTAAAGGTGTATGTGGATGCTGTGTGGCTGGGAGAGAGAAACCACTGTGAACGCCCATATCTCAAAAAAGAAAAGAAATTAAAAATCCCAAATTTGGACCGATTTTCAAACTTTTGGTATCTATAGACAGGTCAGAGAAATGGTGTCCATTTTGATGGACATGACCAACTTTACGTCCATTACATATTAAGCACGAGGTAATTATATTTCAAAATAATAACATTTTAGCCATCAGCTAAAAAAAATCCTCCACATTAAACCAATATGAATAGCTCAATGAAATCCGAACAAAAGTTTAATTAGGTTGTCCCTGCAACATGGTCAAAGTTTCATCCAAATTAGTAAGAATCACTTCATGTAGATACAAGTTCATGAGATATCATGTGAGGACTTTTTTTGGTGTTAGACTAAACATTTACCTACCGTCATATTTGATCTCCCTATACCTCCAACTGTCTCCTTTACCCACCTCACACCTTGAGAACATGATACTGAAAATTCTTCGTAAATATCTATGCTGATAATATATAACTAACAACTTGAGGGATATTTGGTTAATGTGTTTAATGGTCGTTCACTTTTAGGATCATAACACCACCTTCACATACAGAATATGTTCAGCATACACTCACCTACGTCTACGACGCCCTGATGTAAAACTTATCACAATATAGTGTATAGAAGTGTGAAAGATAAAGTACAATACAGACTATATATATATATATATATATATATATATATATATATATATATATATATATATATATATATATATATATATATATATATATATATATATATATATATATATATATATATCAACCTCTCTTGACATATATATAAAACAAATTACACCTCCATGTATTGTCACCGGCTGTAAGATACTTGTATTTAATAAGGAGAGGTGAAGGTGGAAAGAAATAATCATTGCAGTGTGTGGTGACCGTGTTGGGAGGGGGAGGTAGACAACTAGTATATTTTATTGTTGTTGTTACTACTGCCAGGTGTGAGAGGAGAGGGAGGAGGTTGACATTTTAGAAAACGTTTGTGTTGTAGCTACTGTCATCAAGTGTGTGAAAGGTGAAGGGGAGTGGGTAGATAATTAGTAAAGCGTAATTACTACAGTCAGGTGTGTCAGATCGTAGACCGAGTGATAATGATGATGGTTGTCGTCTGGGGCTGCATTACACCTCAGGTTGAGTTAGGTGTCAGTGATCAAACCCAGTGTCTTGTATGAGAGAGTAATGTTATTTAGTAATGAACCAAAATGTTTCATAAAGATGCCATACTTTGTCACTGATAATATAATTATGTTTAAATATATATTTTTTTCCAGCCATTTTCTAGTTTATACTAAATAAGATGACATCTTATTTAGTTGAAGTGGCCGAGGCTGCGGGGTGCGGAAGTGTGTCTCCTGCAGTTAATGTTGACTCTGTGTTTAGATCATTATTTAGGTTATATCATGTAGCGTGGCCACACTGAGCCAGGGCACGGACTGGTGTGCCAAATGGCTTCTTCACCACCCTTCCCTCACCACCTTGTAGCAGCCACCTCCGTAAAGCTTGTGTGCCTTCTGTAAATACACCTTTGCTTTCCTGTCCTTGGTGCTATGTATGTGGTGGTGGTGGTGCAGCCCGACCCTGTGGACGATGGTAGTGAGTCGGTATGGGCGTGGGGAGACTGGGTGTCCTTCACGCCCACACAGATCACCGCCCACGACGACGCCTTGTTCAGGGTAAGAGGGGCACAAGCGACGCTGGAATCTGTGAGATGGTTATTTTTTGTGTGTGCACGCACAGCATGTTGAGATATTTATTTATTTTGGTATTGCTCAGATCCTGTTGCTCAAAGTCTGTCAGTTTTCTCGAAAATATGAATATTTTGATATAATACTTCCTGCAAGACTTGAGGGGGCAGTTTGAGGCTTAAAGCTTCCACACTAAGGCTCTCACTGTTAACACCGCCTCGGAACACAGCCACACTAAGGCTCTCACTGTTAACACCGCCTCGGAACACAGCCGCACTAAGGCTCTCACTGTTAGCACCGCCTCGGAACACAGCCCCACTAAGGCTCTCACTGTTAGCACCGCCTCGGAACACAGCCCCACTAAGGCTCTCACTGTTAGCACCGCCTCGGAACACAGCCCCACTAAGGCTCTCACTGTTAGCACCGCTGTATTAATTGACGACAACACCAACACGAGCGCTGGATCAATGTACCGATAGTTGCAAGTATTAGTATGTGATGGTGAATTAATACCAGTTAACAGTTTCTTAACAGTTGACACTCCACTCACAGTTCACCTCCTCCTGGTGTTCACACAATGATAATAAATTACCAAAAGTAGTTTATTGCCGCAAACTGGAGTAAGAATAATTCCAGTTACCAATCAGTTGTCCAAAAGACAAAATTATTTGAAAAAATTCAATAATATTTTGGAAACTTAATTTGTCTTTGTTCCGAATATATTACAACATATTAGATGACCAAGTTTGCCTAATGAATGTTTTTAATTAAGATTTTCTGAAAGGTTTTAGAATTAATACAAAACATAATGCATGTATGCCATGAATTCATCAGATACAAAAGATGACTCGGGCATTAACTGTACAACCTAATTTTACCTGGTTATATCTGCCCAGGTAACGACTCAATTAAAATGATTACTTCGTTATGAAGAGAAAGTAACTATGTAAACATTACCTTCCCTTCCTTGGACTCATTTTATCTGAATTCAATAGTTAAACAATAATTACTAGTTATCGACGCTATATTTATCACAATTAAACTTCATCCACCAATATCAACGTTTTCAGTTTCATAATTAAAAGGTGAGAGTAAGTGGTGGTCAAGGTGTTGTGTGCAGTGCCTACATCACCACTCACTACCACACCTGCACGTGCACACAGTAACAAGTCACCAACGTCAGCTGTGGCTCACAGTGGGTGACTCACACGCTAGATGTTAAATTGAAGGAATATAAGGGACTATTAGCCGCATAGCACGCTACTATGAGCTCGTAAAGGCTGTACGATACACAGTGGGAGAGCAGCCACCATGCACCGTCTCACTCACACTGCCCCCACACACTCTGCTGTTGGGATATTGTATTACCATCACACAGCTTCCTCACAGCTAGGCCACGTGACCTCTTGTGACCTCAGTGTGTCCCGTGGTCTTGCATGACAACATTCAGAGACTGTATACGACTCATCTTGCTTGCTGGACGCTTATGTTTTCGTGTGGACATTAACATCTTCCATTGGGAATCTTTGCTCGACAAGGATATTACTGTAGTTTATGGTTAGTTTGAAGAAGAAAGTGTTTTCCTCTTATTATTAACAACTCACATAACAACTCATTTCAGAAAAAAAAACTACAATCTATATTATTTCGAAAACTTACAAAGGAAAGTGAAGGCATTGGTAGATAATTATGAACCTGTGTTGTTACTTACGTGTTTGAGTGAGTGACTAAGGAACAATGGAGCATTATATGGTTTATGTTTAAAGTGAGTTTATGTCGCGTCTGTTAAATGTTTGTGTCGTGGATGTCTTGAACGATATCCGGGAATGTGGAGACAGATGGTGTTTATATGTAACTGCTTGTGGTCATAATGTAACGTATTCAGTTGTGTGAATGTTAGTATGCTTTATATATTGTACAATGGTAGAGTACATCATCTGTGGCAAGAGTAACACGTTATTACAAGTCTCCCAGAGCTGTAGTAGGAAGACTTGGTCAGCCCTGGTGCAGCTCACATGTCCTACAGTAAATACATAAAGCTGTACTGAAATACATATGCGACACCGACTAGATAGGTTTGGTTGTATGTATGTATGTAATTGATGCGGTTATTATATTACCATCTTCCTCTTCGACAATCTTTCTTGCATGTTTAAACCAAGTATATTGACATTATTTAACATTTTAGTCTAATTATAAAGATGTCATTTAACTCACTATATTTCCTCCTTAATAATATACAGTAGTCATGGTAATCATCAGCTTGGTGAAAGTTTTAATACGACAAACTCACAAATGTATGACGTCATTCACCTATGTTGCTATAGTTCGTCGTAAGACTTGTATTTTGTTCACGTTTCCTCTTTATCTCTGGCTCCTCCCCTGGACCAAATTCTCAAAGGTTCCTCCTATTGTTTTACTCCTAAATGAAGTTATGACAACGCAGATAATCTGGTCAGTCAAGTTGTCGGCCAAAATAGCTCTAAGCCTGTTACGTAGTTTAATTAGTTGTTTTTCCCCATTTACCGGGAATTTGAGAATTAGGACCCAGGTGAAGGAAGTTTTGGGATCAGTTTAAGTGTGAACCTTAAGCATGAACCTCTATTGTCCTCGATATGACTGTGAAGTGTCTGCATGTTCCCTTGTGCATGTCTCTTGTTCCTGCCTGAACCATACCGTGAGAACCAGTTTACTATAACATGACGTCCCACACCTACGGAAGCTCCGGTAAGCTGTGTTTACATACACCTTAAGCGGTCACCCCGCTCTATACTTTTCTGACGACACGATCAGACACACCTAACTCATTTAACAGTGCCCTACATTATCAGTCACCTAGGATGTGTTGGCAGAGAGTCTACCTAAAGATGAGTTTACATGGTGTGAAATCATTGTCAGAATTGATCCTAAAGATTTGTTTTATTACATATACTAGATGAATGTACAGTAGTTGTGTACTTGGGTGTTGCTCGGTCACCTGAACCAGCAACAAGTCTTGTGCAGCACAAGTTGTAGTGAACCTTTATTCTTTACACAGGAAAGAATAACTTCACGTAATCCTGGATGAACCATTGCCTGTGTATTTATATACTGACAACTTGTATTTAAACAACGAGGTTGCTTACGTATAAACACTGATTAACAGTAACAGTCTGTATCTATCTATCTATCTATCTATCTATCTATATATATATATATATATATATATATATATATATATATATATATATATATATATATATATATATATATATATATATATATATATATATATATATATGCTGATAACCACAAGGAAAAAGAAAAACACGAAGTTCCCAAGCGCTCGTGTAATTCACATCTTCAGGGGTGAGTACAAACTAAGTTTGTTTGTGCTTAGTTGTACTCACCCCTGAGATGTGAATTACAGGCACAGAATATCGCTTCATCACCTTGCCTACAGTGATTTATTTGCGTATATATATATATATATATATATATATATATATATATATATATATATATATATATATATATATATATATATATATATATATATATATATATATATATATATATATATATGCTATATATATATATATATTAACAAAAGAATATCTGTGTGTTTGTGTGTGTGTGTCGCACGAGAATCTCGAAAACTACTTTACCGATCTGTAGTGATGATGGATGATGATGTTATATGTAGTGATGATGGATGTTGTTATATGTAGTGATGATGGGTGATGTTATATGTAGTGATGATGGATGGTGTTATATGTAGTGATGATGGATGGTGTTATATGTAGTGATGATGGATGGTGTTATATGTAGTGAAGATGGATGATGTTATATGTTGTGATGATTGGTGTTATATGTAGTGATGATTAGACAATAAAATAATAACAGTTTAATGATAAAAAAAATATACTTTTCGTACCGTTGTAGTAAAAAACATGGTGGAGCTTACATACACCGTTAATGAACTATTGATGGAAGAAGAAGTTTTGGGGGATTGAACAGTGAGACAATGTGGAGCCTCCCGGAGGGTGGCGTCCTACCGTGTGTGTCCGCACGAGAATCTCGGAAACTACTTAACCGATCTGTAGTGATGATGGATGGTGTCATATGTAGTGATGATGGATGGTGTTAGATGTAGTGATGATGGATGATGATATATGTAGTGATGATGGATGGTGTTATATGTAGTGATGATGGATGGTGTTATATGTAGTGATGATGGATGGTGTTGTATGTAGTGATGATGGATCGTGTTATATGTAGTGATGATGGATGGTGTTATATGTAGTGATGATGGATGATGTTATATGTAGTGATGATGGATGATGTTATATGTAGTGATGATGGGTGGTGTTATATGTAGTGATGATGGATGCTGTTCTATGTTGGATGCTCCAGAGTGGGAACTGGCAAAAATCTGTACATACTTGCTGCTAATGGCAAAACCAAAAATGTGGCCTACCCTAATGCACTACAGTGAGACAATGTGGAGCCTCCCAGAGGGTGGCGTCCTACCGTGGCCTAGCTAAAGAGCGGCGTTTCTGCTAGTACTGTATATTCCTGAATTTACTTAACGTAGTAAGACTTTGATAGTGATGAAGTGTATTGCGATGGTGGAGGTAAATGTATCCTTGTGGGGAGAGAGGCGATAGTCACCTGCTCGCCTCTCACGATACCTTCTTGGATAAACAATGTTATTATTTTGTAACTAATTTCTTGAATAACTCCACCTGCTTATGTGATATTTACACAGCTGATCGTGTTACAGGTGAACAGATACACAGTTAGTCATGCTACAGGTGAACAGATACACAGTTAGTCATGCTACAGGTGAACAGATACACAGTTAGTCATGCTACAGGTGAACAGATACACAGTTAGTCATGCTACAGGTGAACAGATACACAGTTAGTCATGCTACAGGTGAACAGATACACAGTTGTCATGTTACAGGTGAACAGATACACAGTTAGTCATGCTACAGGTGAACAGATACACAGTTGTCATGTTACAGGTGAACAGATACACAGTTGTCATGTTACAGGTGAACAGATACACAGTTAGTCATGCAGGTGAACAGATACACAGTTAGTCATGCTACAGGTGAACAGATACACAGTTGTCATGTTACCAGGTGAACAGATACACAGTTGTCATGTTACAGGTGAACAGATACACAGTTAGTCATGCTGGGTGAACAGATACACAGTTGTCATGTTACAGGTGAACAGATACACAGCTGATCGTGTTACGGGTGAACAGATGCACAGTTGGTCATGCTGGTGAACAGATACACAGTTGTCATGCTACAGGTGAGGAACAGATACACAGTTGTCCGGCACTACGGGTGAACAGATACACAGTTAGTCATGCTACAGGTGAACAGATACACAGCTGATCGTGTTACAGGTGAACAGATACGCAGTTAGTCATGCTACCAGGTGAACAGATACACAGTTGTCATGCTACAGGTGAACAGATACACAGTTGTCATGCTACAGGTGAACAGATACACAGTTGTCATGCTACCGGTGAACAGATACACAGTTGTCATGCTACAGGTGAACAGATACACAGTTAGTCATGCTACAGGTGAACAGATACACAGCTGATCGTGTTACAGGTGAACAGATACACGGATTGTCATGTTACAGGTGAACAGATACACAGCTGATCTCGTGTTACAGGTGAACAGATACACAGTTGTCATGTTACAGGTGAACAGATACAGCTGATCTGTTACAGGTGAACAGATGCACAGTTGCCATGCTACAGGTGAACGAATCACAGTTGTCATGTTACAGGTGAACAGATGCACAGCTGATCGTGTTACAGGTGAACAGATGCACAGTTGTCGTATTTACAGGTGAACAGATACACAGTTAGTCATGCTACGGGTGAACAGATACACAGTTGTCATGTTACAGGTGAACAGGTACACAGTTGTCATGTTACAGGTGAACAGATACACAGTTAGTCATGCTACAGGTGAACAGATACACAGTTGTCATGTTACAGGTGAACAGATACACAGTTGTCATGTTACAGGTGAACAGGTACACAGTTGTCATGTTACAGGTGAACAGGTACACAGTTGTCATGTTACAGGTGAACAGATACACAGTTAGTCATGCTACAGGTGAACAGATACACAGTTAGTCATGCTACAGGTGAACAGATACACAGTTGTCATGTTACAGGTGAACAGATACACAGTTAGTCATGCTACAGGTGAACAGATACACAGTTAGTCATGCTACAGGTGAACAGATACACAGTTAGTCATGCTACAGGTGAACAGATACACAGTTATCATGTTACAGGTGAACAGATACACAGTTGTCATGTTACAGGTGAACAGATACACAGTTGTCATGTTCGATTGGACAAGTACTCGCTCCAAAAAGTTTCTTCACGGAGGGGTTCGATGAATTTTAAAATGAACATTGTGATTCCTGTTGTCTCGGTTGGGTTGTTAAAATCCTTCGTCCGTTGTGTCATATTGTCTTACACAAAATCATAAAGATACTTTTTGTAGCGAGACACCGTGACCACGTTACAAGTGAACAGGTTCACTAGTTCAACACATCAACAATGAGACGAGGTTGGTGACGTGACTACCTGCTGTGTGACGTAACCTCCAGTCCAGCAGGTGTAGTCGCCACTCGCTGACACTGCTCACCAGTGACTGACCTCACCTTTTTCTTTTATTGTTATTGTTAACAAAATGTATCACACACACTCACACACACACACACACACACACACACACACACACACACACACACACACACACACACACACACACACACACACACTATCAGACTTACAATACTGAAAAATATCATGTATGTTATTCCTCTGTGTAGTATGTATAGTTCTATGCATCTTCTTCCCTCAGAGTTGATTATTGTTACCTGACAAGACAAGACCGACGTGATAACTGTGACATATTCTTGGTCTAACACAAAATACAACTTCTGTTAATCACACCCACGTGAAAAAACTCTCGACGTAGTTATCATTATTTTTTTTTTACTTGATATTTCATTCATTCATTTATGTATCTTGACCTGGTTTCTTGTTTTATCTTTTCATGAAGTATCAAGTGGATATAAGTGTGTGAGCATAAAGACAAAACTAATAGGATAATTTCTCGGTTTAGGTTATGAGTCTTAGTGTTGAGTTGAATAGTTTGGTCTGCAGAGATACAACTGGGTAGCAGATGTAGTGAAGTAACACTGTGGCGTGAGTCATCTTCCTGAGAATTATTTACTCTGCTTTCAATGTCTCTCTTATGTTTCTCCTTTTTTTAAACTTTTTTATTTTTTTTTTTTTTTTACTTTTCTTCTCTTTATCAGTCTCTCTTCTTCTTTCTGTCTCTTAGGTCTTGATTTTTCTTTAGCTCTTTTCATCTTCTATATTCCCCGTTTTTTCCTTCTCTTCACACTAGTGTAGTGGAGGGCACAGGAACCAGGCGACGACTACACAGACATAAGAGGCCAAGTTCAGACTTAACCCAGATGAAGGAGTGACAGAGTGTGAATCATAATAATTATGTAGTGATTCATGTGACAGAATGATGTGAGCTCACCTGAAGGACATGGAGCTCCCTAACTACCTTTGCCTGTACTGCATGTGAGGTAGAAGACGTTGTTCGAGCACGATTTATTTAGTTTGGTTTGTGTAATTACTTTTTATTTACAACTTGGTTATTATGTAGGAAGTGATGCATGACTGAGACTTAAAAACAACGAGTTACTACTACCATGAAGGTTTATTTTTGATGGCATGGATAACCACAGTAATAACATGTAATCAATAAAACATCCAATTTGTGAACTAAAATATAATTAAATCCGGCAGCACGAATATATATATATATATGTCTCATTAAAAATAAGCACCGAGAACTTTTCTAAAGCACAACCCCAATAAAATAACCCTGTAGATACCATTTTCCTGAAGATATTTCTACCTTGAGTCTTGTTCCTGTGACATATCCTGGCCGCAGGTGGATGGTGCTGTTAGGTTCTGCCGTACCTCTTGTAAGTTCAGTCCTCCAGTGAATCTCTCATAAACAACTTGTCTTTCTTTCTCGGCTGTCGGTCTTAATCTCTTCATAGACTAAGTCACTTGTCCATATTTTACACAGTGTGGGAGTTTAAGGGCGCTACTATGATACGTGTTCCACTGCCTCGGTAAACAGTGAGTCACTCTCTTGTCTCTCCTTCACACGCGTCGTGAAGGTGTTCGCCAGGGACGCAGACGCTGGCATGAACGGCGACATCGACTACAGCATCAAGTCGGGCAAGGGCAAGAAAGGTCGCTTCAAGATCCACCCAAAAACTGGTCAAGTGTACACCAATAAGGCCTTCACACATGACATGATCTTCAACCTCATGGTAAGTATAAATAAAACAACTTCTGGTTGTTACCAAAGTGTTCATCATAGTTTTCACTTATCTAGTAGACTAGGTGACAGCTTATGTATTTTGTTTATGTAGAAAATACTTATGAAAACTATGGAAGAATACATCTGTAAGGGGCCGAGATCAGTTAACACTATTAAACTGTGTATTATACTTAACGGCGGTGGATCTTGGTACAGTTGCGGAAATGTGTTCCTAGGGTAAGAACACAAAGAAGCAGGTTACCCGCTTGCTGGTTTCCAGCGCCGCCAGTCAGCGCTGGTAGGCGGACACAGAGGACACATGGTAGGCGGACACAGAGGACACATGGTAGGCGGACACAGAGGACACATGGCAGGCGGACACAGAGGACACAGGTTCATCTGCGAGTGTTTGTCCAGGTGTCGTACAGTAAAGATGTTTAGCTCCTCGCCTGACGAAGATTTTCATTTGCTCTATAGTGATGATGCAAAAATCACGATAAAAACAACTGGAATACATGAAATCAATCACAGTAGAGAAAATTACGGTGAATATCACCATATTTTTAGTGAGCTAAAAGGGACTCAAATAGGTTTTTTAAATACATGAGAATGACTTGGGAAACTTTTGACTACCTTTTGAAGTAGGTTGAATATCCTATGTCTCGCTGCCTTATAGCAGGGTGGGGGGGGGGGCCACTGCTCGATATACGTGTAACCTTGACCTTGTAGACAATTTCAGCTCCCTACTGCTGAAGACATTGGTATGGAGTCTGCCAAAGGCTTGAGATGCACATCTGATCCGATGTTGAATCTCTTCATCGATGCCCCCGGTGGTGGACAGGTGGGAGCCGAGATACTGAAAGTGGGTAACATTAGAGAGGGAAGTATCATTAAGCCAGATGAATGGTGGAAGTGTGGGTGAACCAGGGGCAGGCTGAAAGAAAATCTGAGTCTTACGTACATTCACCTCAAGGCCGAAGTATGCATACTCGTTCAGTGTGAGCGACGAGAGTGAGGTCGTCTGCATGCTAAAGTTCAGTAATGGAAGCTGCTGACACCTTTGTTTCTACCTGGAGTCGTCTTATGATGAAAAGACTCTTCATCCATTACTGGATGTCCACCCCGCCGGCTAAATTGGCAATGGCTCAAGTAAGGAAGGCAGCCAAAAAAATGGAAAAGAGAGTTGATGAAGGCCATGTCCAGGTCACGACGCTGTTCTCTGTACATTTTCTCTATTTGGCGGGCATCAGAGATCATGTCAATGGTGGCACGTGATAGTCTAAAGCTACATTGAGATTCTGAGAGGAAGTTTTCCTCCTCAGGAAGAAGTCAGTTTAGTAGGACTCTGGCTACGGAGAGCAGTAAGATCCCGTGGTAGTTGCCATAGTGTGACCGGTCTCCCTTGTTCCTATAAATATTGACGATGGAGGCGTTTTTAAGAGCTTGGGAGATTTCCTCACTTCCCCACAAATTATCCAGGAGAGAGTGGAAACGGCTGGTAAGCAGAGGTCCTCCTGCTTTAAACACCTCGGCTGGGATTCCATCAGGCCATGAGGCTTTGTTATTTTTCATCTGTTTGACGGCAGTAGCTACCGACGCACACACACACGGACTCCTTTATTATTTTGGATGAATTTCCATATAAAGGATAGCAAACGTATGTGAACAATGTTATCGACGTGTTTGACTGCTGCGGAAGGTTGACAACGAATTAAACATTGAATATCGCTTATGCATCTTGAGAGAAACCGCCGACTCATGTAATTTATGAAATCTGCATTTCATGTATAAGAATTTGACTTCTGTTTCAAATGTATAAATATATGTTTGACTTGAGAAAGGAACGTAATGACTTGTGCAATATATAAAGGCACTTTTGCTTGCGGAGGAAGGCCGATGGCAGATATATTCGCCATGTATTGCAGAGGAAGGTGTGGGTCTGGTATATCACCATGTTTAACAGAGGGAGGCCATCGACAGGTATACACGCCCTGCACAGTAACACTATGTATAACACTGAACTCCTTCCTGCCACGTTTAGTGTCACGGTTCGCCACCTTCTCAGGGGCCAGTAATGCCACTTTTCTTAATTATCGACATGCGTATCGAGGCTTTCATCAGCCGTTCCTCAATTTTTACTGATCTCCATTAATTTGTGTCTCATAATTTGATGTTGGACTACGTGATATATATTTTTTTAATTTATTCATATATCATTTATTGTGCACTCATGCATCGGTATAACAACAACTACTGATTAATAGCGACGAGGCTGCGTTCCAGACACCTACTGCCAGCCACCCTGCAACACCCTCCCTCCCTACCAGTGTTCCAGACACCTACTGCCAGCCACCCTGCAACACCCTCCCTCCCTACCAGTGTTCCAGACACCTACTGCCAGCCACCCTGCAACACCCTCCCTCCCTACCAGTGTTCCAGACACCTACTGCCAGCCACTCTGCAACACCCTCCTCCCCTACCAGTGTTCCAGACACCTACTGCCAGCCACCCTGCAACACCCTCCCTCCCCTACCAGTGTTCCAGACACCTACTGCCAGCCAGCCTGCAACACCCTCCCTCCCCTACCAGTGTTCTAGACACCTACTGCCAGCCACCCTGCAACACCCTCCCTCTCCTACCAGTGTTCCAGACACCTACCGCCAGCCACCCTGCAGCACCCCTCCCCTGCCAGTGTTCAGACACCTGCCAGCCACCCTGCAACACCTCCCTGCCAGTGTTCCAGACACCTGCCAGCCACCCTGCAACACCCTCCCCTGCCAGTGTTCCAGACACCTACTGCCAGCCACCCTGCAACACCCTCCCCTGCCAGTGTTCCAGACACCTACTGCCAGCCACCCTGCAACACCCTCCCTCCCTGCCAGTGTTCCAGACACTTACTGCCAGTCATCCTGCAACACCCTCCCTCCCTGCCAGTGTTCTCGTAAAGGATAACTATTACCTTTAATATAGTCAGCCATTTGTCACTAAACTTTCTAGTTCTCGGGAAAAACAGTGATTTTAAATAATATCCCCCAGGGAACTTGAAGCTCATTTGCAAAGTGGTCGCCTGAGAACAAAAAAATCTTGAGGCATCTAGAGAGAATCTCGAGGAAATTAGATGCTGTTCTGACTTACACACACACACACACACACACACACACACACACATTCATCAGTGAATATTAAATATAAGTGTTATAATATTTTTTCAGAGAATTATAGATACAAATTATTTATGCGATGACACAATTGAGTTAATTATTAATGTTGCACCAGGTGGATGTCCCTCAAGAGTATGGCTGTCGTTCTTATGATCATATTAGTGTTTACCAGTGTTGTTATGAGGCAGCCGAGGGAAGGGTTACAAACAGTGTGGGCTGCCACTCTGTCACCAACACCCATAGGCTGCCTCGTGACACTTTCCTGCCGCCCACACTGCCACACTGTTTATCACTTGACAATCTCCTGCCGCCCACACTGCCACACTGTTTATCACGTGACACTTTCCTGCCGCCACACTGCCACACTGTTTATCACCTGACGTTCATTATTATCATCAAGTATACATGGTATTAGAGACGCTGACAGGCACGCCCACTTCCCCACAGATCCAGGCCCAAGACAACGGACGTCCACAGATGAGCGCCACAACGAGGGTGTTGGTGCGTGTTGCAGACGTCCCCGAGACCTCCGACCATCCGCCCGTCCTGCCCACGCCCGCTCCCGCCCATGTTATGGAGACGGACCCACCTGGCCACGTAGTGTCGTTTGTCACAGCCCACGATCCAGACAACGACACCTTGTGGTACTACATTACAGGTAAGGTCTCGAGTGTCATGGAGGCGGACCATTTAAGTGTGTATAGGTTCTTCGTATTAATGCAACCAGTTTATGAAAAAGATTCACCTTCTCACAGTAGTCCGAAAATTTCAGTTCCTTTTCAAAATAAACAACTAGATATTTCTCACGTCTTTTACCTGGGAGGCATATATCTGCCTTACTATGGGACATACTCTCAAGGTGCACGATCAAGGTTCATCTTCACCATCCATTCTTATTCCCACACTTGGGGCCATTAGAGATCGCCCTGGAATGATACGCAGTCCGTTGGATTTTTAATTTCCCTGAACAACTTAGTATTTTCATCAATATTTTATATAGAAAATGAATGACGTTTGGCATATAATTTAAGGAACAGACAAATAGTAACGGTGATAACATATTGCCTCACAGCACGCCGCTTGTCTCATAGATGACTGACAATTTCCTGCCATTTATCACCACGGATTGTTACGATCTTAAAGACCCATCGTAGGAAAATTTCTATGTATTGCGTGTCCTTTTCATTAAATTGAAACCTACGCCTTTTATGAGGTACATAATAAAATGTCTGTCTTCATTACTACCACATTTTAGGATCTGTGACCATACATACCAGTACGTCTATTACCTCCAGCAGCTATGTTGAGCAGCCCAGACATGCTAACAGTTATTAGGGATCTTTTGTTGTCCATACTTCTGCAGAACAAGATAACTAAAGTGTTCTGAAGGTTTGTCACACGCATCTCTTAACACTCTGGGACGCACACTATTAGGGCCAGGGCTTTTATTAACCTTATTTTTATATTTTATTTATACACTTTTCTGAGTTTTGTGCCTCACTGCCCTTCCTTGGAGCTAGCTAGGTTATTTCCACCCCAGAGGACAGTAATTATTTTAAAGTTCCCGTTATATCTTGGTCTGAAACAACACAACTCCTACTTTCAAGTCTCTCATGTGATCGGGTGTCTTGAATTTTGATTTAACAAAGAGATAGAAAACTTTAAGGTTCGACTGGGCCTCGGTTGTGATCCACTTCGGAAACTCTCTTTCCATTTTTTTTTCAAAACTGATTTCGTTTAGTTTATGAACCTAGCATACACCACTCTGTCTACCTGCTCATCTTTCGTGACCCATCTCTTGAAATTCCCGAGATTTCTTCGTAACTTAAGCAAGTACCGGTTAATTCTTGTTTTAAAGTTTCTTAGTTGTTCCAGAACTTAAGGAGTTGGTTTTGGGTATACAAGTATATATATCACTCTTCACAAAACTCCCTACCCATTGTTCCTTGGTTCCTCTATCTTCTGCTACGAATATGTCAGCGTTTTCCTATGGTTTTCCTTCTGTGCTGCTGCATGACTCAGTGTCAAGGAATAGTCCGAGAAGACCGGACAACTCGCCAACTGCACTGGCTAACCATTACCCCAGCACACGATTCGCAAATCGATTAACATCCAGTCCCCAATTACTGCTGTGTAGACAGAGGCAAATGGCTTTAAGAAATTTGCCCATTGTTTCACCCCGCCCGTAGATTGAACCCGAATCCTCTCGCTCGCAAGGCGAACAAGCTGACCATTACGCCACAGGTCTCCACATAGTATTCTGTCTGTCGTCCTGTCTGTCTAGTCACACAGTTAAGACAATACCAGCGGTATACAGCAGCTTTTAACGTCTTCAGTATCATCAGTACTTACGCATCCCCTTCAAAAACTCCTGTACTGTACCGTAATTGTATGCCTGCAGTTTTCATGGTTGGTGGCTGTTTTTTTTTTTTAGTTAAGAAAATCTTTTTCTACTTATATGTCCCTCCACTTAATCACTGCAAACATTTTTTTTCCTCTGTGCCTCTCGTGGTATATCCCATCAGTGTTTCTGCTTTAGACCAATCAGCCGACACTACACCAGAGTAAAAAGCTGATTTTCCCCTCAATTGCCCCTGCAGTAAACCGAGGCACCAGGCTGAGCACTCTTTACTAGAGTGGTCTTGATGAAGTTATGAGTTCACTGACCAATTCCACTCCCTCAGTTCGTATAAAGCCTAAACTGTTAAAACTTTTTTTCTTTTCTCTGTCGAGTCAACACGTGGATCAATCCTCAGCAAGTCTTCTTCAATTAACTTAGCTGTCTTGCTCATGTATTCACACTGTGAGTGAATTTGAAATATCTACAACAATTACTAAGTATTAAATAGGACTCTGTTTGGCTTTGTTGGTTCATATTTTCGTCGTGTTATTTGTAAATATTTTCGTAGCAGCGTGTGTTGCCTTAACACTCGAGTCTGCACTTGACAAGCGGCACTGCTGCATCTAACTCAATTTTAAAATAATTCACAAGCTTTAATTTATTTCCTGCTTTATTTTTCTAACACTTGTGTCGTTATGTGAGTCAGATAATAAAAGTTAAAGCATTGTCTATATTGTAATGTTGTCCTGTAGAAGGTAACGTATTTATGGTTGTACCTAAACCCGTCGGACTGATGTGACTTACTTTACTTAGAATGTTTACTGTGTGTTCATATGTTCACACCCACTCAGGCCTTCCATTCTAACCTGTATTGGGACCAACACGGCACCTGTTGTGGTTCACCAAGGTCATATGGCACCTCTAGTTACAATTACTTTAAAGTGAAGCTCATAGTTGTTCCTCCCATTTCACAAAAATATTAATATTCAAACATGTTAAAGCGGTTTCTATATAACTTAATACTTTGGGCTGGTATTTATTTCATAGGAAATATTCGTGACGTAACTTCTCATATACATATGATCTCAAAGTTAAGGTCTGAAAGATTACTGGAGAAACAACGCGTTCATACTTTGGTTGTTTACAATTCTACCAAGGACATATTTACATATTAGGTGCGCCGGTAGAGTGGACACAACACTCGCTTCCTGTTCTTTTGTGTGGCTGGTTCGATCTCAGAGTACTCCAAGTTCACCAGGCAGTAAATATACATACTAGTGTGGTTTGTCCTGATCTAATGCCTCTGAGACCTAGTTTTCCTTTTCACGTGGTTTTGACACGCAATAACTCCCACGTGGTAACACTTAGTTGAACACCTTAACTTAGATATGATCAGCAATGATTAACACAGCTTAGAAAGTCACACAAAGCCAGTGTTTAGTAGTTATAGCAGCCAGTGTTTAGTAGTTATAGCAGCCAGTGTTTAGTAGTTATAGCAGCCAGTGTTTAGTAGTTATAGCAGCCAGTGTTTAGTAGTTATAGCAGTCAGTGTTTAGTAGTTATTGCAGCCAGTGTTTATTAGTTTTAGAAGCCAGTGTGTATTAGTTATAGCAGCCAGTGTTTATTAGTTATAGCAGCCAGTGTTTAGTAGTTATAGCAGCCAGTGTTTATTAGTTATAGCAGCCAGTGTTTATTAGTTATAGCAGCCAGTGTTTATTAGTTATAGCAGCCAGTGTTTAGTAGTTATAGCAGCCAGTGTTTAGTAGTTATAGCAGCCAGTGTTTAGTAGTCATAGCAGCCATTGTTTAGTTGTTATAGCAGGCATTGTTTAGTAGTTATAGCAGCCAGTGTTTAGTAGTTATAGCAGCCATTGTTTAGTAGTTATAGCAGCCAGTGTTTAGTAGTTATAGCAGCCAGTGTTTAGTAGTTATAGCAGCCAGTGTTTAGTAGTTATAGCAGCCAGTGTTTAGTAGCTATAGCAGCCAGTGTTTAGTAGTTATAGCAGCCAGTGTTTAGTAGTTATAGCAGCCAGTGTTTAGTAGTTATAGCAGCCAGTGTTTAGTAGTTATAGCAGCCAGTGTTTAGTAGTTATAGCAGCCACTGTTTAGTAGTTATAGCAGCCACTGTTTAGTAGTTATAGCAGCCACTGTTTAGTAGTTATAGCAGCCAGTGTTTAGTAGTTATAAGAGTCACTTAAAGAGTGAAAATCTCCGTCAGTGTGTACGTTGGTCATTCGGAAAAACACATATAAATTTACCCATATAAAGTGTTATGAACTTGTTCTTAATACTGTGGACTACATGATAGACTTTTCAAGATTTAATATTTAGAAAAAAATGTCACTCATTAACAGTAGTTTATTAGAGGAATGAATACAATCAGCAAACTCTACACATTACCGAGGAAGAAATAACCTTGGCTCTCTATTGTACGGCTGCCTTACTGAGCTGATAACTATAAGAACATACTAAATGCAGGACAAACTGATAAGAACAGTTATGAAACCGTTCCTGCCTTCAATTTTGTAAACGCTTTTAAAACATCAAAAAATAAACTTATAATTTCTATATTGTTTGATTGTTTATAATATAAAGAAATATTATCTGAGGAGGAAACAATACAATGGTGTACAGTAGACTAGTTTATTTCCAGGTTGAGAGTCTAAGAGTTTATTTTATTGTGAGAAACTGAATTAAGAATTAGTAGGTGTACCCACGTGAGAGAGAGAGAGAGAGAGAGAGAGAGAGAGAGAGAGAGAGAGAGAGAGAGAGACTTCCCGGCATATACGGGCTTGTCTCAAATACCCAATAAGGAGCCATGAATCAAAGCTGTTGTGACGCGCTGCGAGTCAATCACTGAACCTTCAGTCTGGGAGTTCCCTCAGGAGGCTGCAGGCGGCCGGGTAAACCAATCAACTACTAACATGCGAATGTTTGGACTAAGAATTAGGACACTGACAACTGAAACCTACTAAGGAAGAGAAGAAGTCATGGGTATCGTGAATATTGGATTACTGGCATAACAGAACGAGCAGAAGAAAATAAAACCTAAAACAACGTGAATATGATAAACAATTGCCCGATATATAACAGTATAGAACAAGACATAACCAAACATTAAGCAGCCATCATCATAGTCCAAGAAAAAAAAACACCATTAGAAAAGCAAAATTCCTCAGAGACAGAAGATTCGTGTTACAAATTTAACGAATGAATCCAAATAAAGTACCACAACAAGGACTCACTTCAGGGATCCCTTAGAAACATGAGTACCTTTGTTCCCGAGTAGTGATTGCTTATGGGTATTGAAGATGTGAA